TCGTATGTTTCAATTACAACAATTCCATATCGATGAGTGTATTTTCAAAAAGTTAATAATGCTAAGTGGGCAAAAATATTCAATGAAATTTGCATAGGTGAAAACCTCGTCCCAAAAAATATATATATATATTGAATTCAGATATCAGATATACAATTGTTTGGGAAATTTACAGCATTTTCTGCGTTGGTTAATTTTCTATTTAATTTTTCAATCTTTCTTACGATAAATTTCAGTCGATTATTAAGTTTATTTAACTCATACACAAAATTAGTGTACATATGTAAAACAGAAAAGCTTTTTTCGGAATTTCATATTTCCATCGTCAATGTTAATTTTCGAGTTGTTTATATTCATATATAAGTAAGTTACTGTTACTTTGTTTCTATGTTAATAAATGTTGTATCTCTTTGTGTGAATTAAAGTTTTTTTTATGAGTTCTTTGAATCTTTTTGTGTGTCATCTCGGTAAAGACGGCAAAACGCTAGTGGCCCTTTTTTGAATATTTATAATGGGATTCTGCAATTCGTAGTTCTTACTTGTTATTATTAAAATGTAGAACCTCAATATCGTTATCAATGATGTTTCTTGCCTCTTGCGGGTTTGTTTTTTGTTTATCTTTCAGGTGGTTTTTGATAGCACAGATTGAACGTGCATAGTAAGTCTTCTTGATAGTTTAGTGATGAAAAAAAGAAATAATTAATAATGGAAACGATGGTGAGTTAATGAAAAAAATTAAAATGGTGCCGATGTAGATAAAAGCAATAACGATGGTGATGCTGACAAAGATAGCAGCAGATTCAGTAGATAAACAAGCAGAGGTTGATGATGATGACGATGAAGAGGCCAAGTACAAAAAAGAGTTTGCAGTTGGCGGAGATGCGGTTGTAGTTGCCAGAAATGATGTTGCAATTGGCGATGAAATTGCAGTTGTCGGAAATGATGTTGCGGTTACGAAAGATGATGTTGCTGTTTCCAAAGAAGATGTTGTAGTTGCCGAAGATGATGTTGTGTTGTCGGAGATGAGAAGAATGGGCTGGTGAAAAACCAGACAGACTCGAAGATTGGCAGTGGAGAGAAAAGATTGAAATATTTACAACATCTAGGATCCGAGATAGAACGAAGATACGCATTGAAGAGAAAACTCAATTTGAGTTGGTACGCGAATGAATTAAGGAAGAATAAAAAATATTTGAAAAAGAAGCCGCAGAAGTGGGCCTTGATGGGATAGTTTCGAGTGGTTCACCGACAAAATAGCGCATGACAAAATAGCGAATGACAAAACAACGCCGAAAAAACCGCGAACGACAAAATAGCATAAAAACAAAAAGCCGACGAAATAGCGCAACATACCATTGTTGGTAAAATTTTGAAGAAATGAATGTTTCGTTTTATAAACAGGTGTGCAAAACGTAAATCTTAACAAATTCCTTAGATATTAGCTAGTTTTTCGAAATAAATTTTTAAAAATAAAAGATTAAAACAAAGTTTAACCAAATGATAAACGTTATTATTATATTAAACTAATTCGTAAGACATTTTTAAAATGTAAAATACAAAGTCAAAATATATGCAATATGAAATTGTGTAATAAGTTGGCTATATTGATATCAAACTTTTGTCCAGTTTGAGATGTTTGGATTTGCAGATAGCTTTGTTACGTTCCCCTACAGTTTAGTTTTCGGTAAACTCTTGTTCTTTGAAGAAGTGATCAATAAACTTGTAAACATTCGGATGGT